GTTTAAATGTATATTATCAGTAATTTCTTAGTGGTGTTAGTTGAAAACTCTAGTATCTGTCAATTTTATCTCAGGATTGTATTAAGATATAACAAAATCATCCTGTCATTATTTTTTTCCCTGAGAGACGATCCTACAATCTCATCTGTTAGGAAAGTAATGTTATTCTCATGCCATCAATTTAAATAAAACAAGTTCTTCCCCCACAACATTTTCTCTTCTCATAATCCAAAAGGGATTTTTTTTCCCATTAGGAGTATAAGAACGTCTCATCTATCTAGTAGAAATGGATTCATTCATAGAACTTGCTTCTCAATCTTTTAATGAGGAAACATAATATGCTTAAAAACAGTTTTTAGAGCATGTTGAAAGTATACACTTGTTTGTACTCACAAATTTATACATGTGAAGAGTTTGCCACTTAGCTTTAATAATAAAGGAAATAAGTTGTTTGTAGCAAAGAAAATACAGAATACATGATCAACTTTGTATCCTTTGTCTGGTGAAGTATATGTAAAAATGCTAGGACAAGAGTATGATTGCCACTTAGTAAGTAACGAGAGAGGAGAAGGTCAGAGCTAAGGTTGTACATTGCAGAATGGCTTTTTGTTCTTTGATGCATCTCAGTTGAAGGTGATAAGCACACAAACTAAATGAAACTGGGAATTTTAAACGGAGAGCTTAAGCTATACATCTCTCATTTAGTTATTCGGTAACATGCAGATCTAACCTGCCCTCTGCAACATTAAAAAATGCATTGTTGTGGTAAGCACCATGAAGGTTGTGAACTAAGGGTTGACAAATCAATGTGATGTTTGCCTTCACCCAGGTTCTCCCTAGTTTTTAGCATTTGTAGTATTGTGATGAAATACATTTAAGTAACCTTAATTGTAAACTGAATATTATTTGTAAGAAAATATAATTAATCAGTTGGATATTTTCCTTGTCTTGCACCATTCTTTTTCTGCTCTACTTTTTTTAAAACCATGAAATAGTTTTAAATGGCAACAGACAATATTTGGTATAAAAAAAAACTAGTCATTTTCATGCCATAAAGCTGATACTGATATATCTAATAGCTTATTTTTAGTTGATTGGTGGAATAGTAAACTTTTCAATTACCACCAAAAGTATTTATCATTGAGTAAATGACAGGAGAATCTAAAAGTTTCTTACTTTTAGTTCAGTTTTGGCCATGCATACTAAGCAGGAAGCACGTTTCTGTGGATTATCTGACTGTAAACCCAAGTAGGTTAAAAAACAGGGAAGGTAACACTAGAAGGTAATATATCACATTAAGAAAACATCAAGGCTGTGTAGGAGATGAGAAGTGGGCAATATAAATCAATTCTCAACTGTGTCTCAGGAGATATGGGTAGACTGAGTATTTGGAAATGTCCGGTAGTGTCCCCCAAGAGGTTGGTATGTAGAGTATAACTTGTTTTAATGATGTGTTTTTCCATGCTGATTTACATACTAGGAATCATAAAGTGTTTCAGAAACTGAAACAACATGTCTGACATAGTTGTGCAGAATAAAAAACATTGTGTATAATGTATTATTCAATGATTGTTATTCTCTGTTACTCTCTGTTCAGAACATGTTTAATCACATAACAGGTAGCGATAGGCAAAAATAAAAAGTTCAGAAACTTTGCTTGAATTAAATTCTCAAAAGTACTGGAGCTGGATGGTTAGTCCTGCTAAGGTTGTTTAGAACTGGAATGGCAACACTAGGTTCGTTTACATGTGCCATTAGTTGCAACTAAATTTACTGTATATTAGCTTAATTTTTGGCAGGTGTCTACACGTGTAGAGATTTATCACTAAATCTAGTGCCAAATACCTCAAGCCCTGCCATGTTCCCCTGTGGCCACTGGGGGCTGGGGGGAGCTCCAGCCTCTGGCCATATGGCTGCAAGCACTTGGCAGCCATGTTGAAGCCAGACTTAGCTGCCAGCACTTGGCAGCCGTCTTTAAAACACAGCCCAAAACTCTGATGCCTGTCCAGCCCCTTCCTTGCCCAGGAGCCACATGCCCAGTGCAGGGGCAGTATGCGGCAGCTCCCTCCTTGCCCACCCTGCCTCCTTGCACCATGGCTGCACCTGCCAGCAATGCCCAGTGTTCCATGCTCCTGCTGGCCATGGTGCTGACCCCAGCAGTGTCCCCCCACCCCAGGCTTCAGGAGAGCCAAGTACATTTCTCCCCTGTGTCCAGAAGTTGGACCTGAAGAGGCAAGGGACAGAAGCCTTTTGTGAGAGTCTGAAATATTTCAGAGATAAGTTGCTTTGCACCAGGGGCCGTGCACTGCCCAGCCTCACACTAGGACTTGGCTTCTCACAGGTGCACAGGGACCGTGGTAAGTCAGCCAGGTAGGCCGGAGCCCAGGCAGCTGGTGATCAAGCCCCTCACCCCTACTTGCTCCCCTGGGGCTGGTGGCCTCCTGGGTGCAGGCTGCAGGCAATCTGCCTCCCCTGCCCCCTTCCCAGGGTGGGACAGGCCAAGCTGCTGGCAGCAACTGCTTCCACAGCTCCAGATCCCGGTTGCCCCCACCCTCTGTCTGCAGGCCAAGTGCCTTGCTATGCTACCACCCAGCCCACAGTGCTCAGTCTCAGGCTGTGTGGGTCTCCTAGACAAACGGCGGGGGGGAGGGGCTGGCCACATTCCTCCCCTCCCCAGGGAAGCACCCAGGGGCCATTCCCCCCCCATACACACACCACCACTACACCCTGAGCATGTCCCTGGTATGCATGCCCTGAGATGTGCAGATTGAGCTTTTTCTGCAACCTGAGGGATGCCCAAGCCACTATGCCCTGCTGATGATCCTCCTGGTGCCCTGAGCACACCTATGCTCCTGGTTTGGGACCCTGATGGCATGGGGACAAGCCCTGGCTGCCCCACAACCTCTGCTACTATCATGAGGGCTACCTGTGACAGTGGTACATGCCCCTGCCACTGTGTTACCAAGGAGGAGATTGTTGCCAGCATTGATGCCTTCCTTGGGGTGTGAGAGTCCCTTGCCCACACAGCTGTGGGGACATGAGTTGCTCAGTAAAGTTCTGATCTGTGTTCTGCCTCTCTGTATGCTGTAGAGGTGGCGGGGACCTGGGTCCAGGGGAGTGTGGGAGGGCCAGGCAAGGAGTGGGGGCAGGAGCCAGGGACAGGGGCAAGTGGGGAATGGGAGAACACCCCCCCCAGCACAGGACGTACCATGTGTGAGGGGATGGTGAGGCTGGCAGATCATCATGGGCCTCCTCATTGGCAATGGCATCTGCTTGTGCCAAGTATCCTTGAACCACAGTGTGCAGTGGGCTGGTGCCGGGCCAGGTTAACCTCCCCAGGGAGGGGCTAGTGCTGCTGGTGGCCAGCAGTGTCATGGTCTGCTTCTTGTAGGATCTGAGGTTGTGGAGCTCATGAGGCAGCTGCTAACCAGGACTCCCCAAAGGGCTAGTGGGTATAGCAGCCAGGGAGGTGAGCACGATGGGGCACTGAATACCTGAGGACCCCTCTTTTGGGGAGGTATCACCACATGGTGTTTTTTTGGTCACTGACAAATGTTTCATGCTTGGCTCCTGGGAGGGCCCCATGCAGTTGCACTTTCACCATTTATTTTTAATATTTGTATTATAAAGAATTAAAAGGTCAAAACATCTCTCTTTATTTCTCATCCTCACCCTACCTACTTCCACAACTAGTTTGGTCCACAAGTGCTTATCTACCTTAGCAAACTATGCAAATATCCATGCATTGCAAATTTAGCTTAGCACTCTCATAAGAACTGGTTCACTTGAGTTTTCCGATGCTTACTATGATCCGTATTGTTTCCAGTCAAGCCAAGGAAATTAACAATGCTAATTTCATATATGAGCCAATGGTGTGTTCTTGTTGCAAAGAAGGCTAATTGCATACTGGGCGGCATTGTTAGGCGTGTTGCCAGCAGATCAAAGGAAGTAATTATTCCCATCTATTCAGCACTGGTGAGGCCACATCCAGAGTACTGTGTTCAGTTTTGGGCCCCCCACTACAGAAAGGATGTGAACAAATTGAACAGAGTCCAGGTAAGGGCAACAGAAATGGTGAGGAGGATGGGGCACATGACTTATGAGGAGAGGCTGAGGGAACTGGGCTTATTTAGGCTACAGAATAGAAGAACAAGAGGGGATTTAATAGAAACCTTCAACTTCCTGAAGAGAGGTTCAAAAGAGGATGTAGCTAGATTGTTCTTAGTCATGGCAGATGATAGAACAAGATTCAATGGTCTCAAGTTGCAGCAGGGGAAGTTTAGGTTACATATTAGGAAGAGTTTTCTCATTAAGAGGGTAGGGAAAACACTGGAACAGGTTACCCCAAGACATTGTGGAAACTTCATCCTTGGAGGTTTCATAGTTTAATAGTTTCTAGGGTCGGAAGGGACCTGAACAGATCATTGAATCTGACCCCCTGCCATGACAGGAAAGAGTACTGGGGTCAAATGACCCTGGCAAGGTGTACATCTAGCCTCCTCTTAAAGACCTCCAGGGTAGGAGCCAGCACCACTTCTCTTGGAAGTTGGTTCCAGATCCTAGCCGCCCTGACCGTGAAGTAGTGCCTCCTGATATCTAGCCCAAATCTACCCTCTGCCAGCTTGTGACCGTTATTCCTGGTCACTCCTGG